TGTTTGCATATCATAATTCACAACATTTTACTGTATATTAATTCATAAATTTATATACAATGCTATAATTAATCAACAAGTTCTTAGTTACTAAAAAGCACCTATCAAAAAGTAAAATCCGGCTTCAACATGCTCTTAAGCACTTTTAAAACAATCCTCAAATTAACTGATTATTTCTCCTAAACATTTCTAATTAAATTTGAATTTTTTCATCAGTAAGATCCTTATTTTTCCCCCCATTTTTGATTTCTCTTTGTGTTTACAAATGCAGCATAGCTAAATATTGGAAGGCTAATGGAAGACATATTATTGAAAACATTATTGTTGATCAAATCAAAACCAAATTAAAACAAATATTTACAAAAAAAACACTATTACAAGAAAGTAGATACAGTACATACACGAAATTGAAGTTTCAGAACACCAAAATATTACAAATCAAACATACATTAATAAACATACACCTCAACAATTCATCCCTATTTTCACGGGGTGACGGTATTGAATGAAAATCGCATACAATTTGCATGCAGATTTTCCTCACTACCGTCACTTCGTGAAAATAGGAACAAATTATAACATTGGTTATTCGAATATTACATACCGCTGATTCCAAACACAAATTAAAAAGAAAACGATTGCAACTATCTTATTACTTATGTTGCATCATATAATTGTAAATTTGAAGTTGATGATGGAAGATCTTTTTCACATTTTCCATCCATTTGGTCCTACATAGAAAACTCTAATAATAACAAAAGTACCTTTATAATTAAAAAGCACAAAAACAATTGAAATATTGTTTTTAATTTTTTTTATGTTAGATTCCAAATTTTATGTCACATAATAGTGCCATGCATAAGAATCTAAGTATGCAAATTCATTTAAACAGGATTGAGGATTTCAAATGTTTTTCAAACAATTACCTTATGAATGATAACTTATAAAATCTACCATGTTCACATTAAAAATTCCATATAAAAAAAATATAGATATGTAAATAACATGCAAGAAATGTTTACAATGATTTAAAAATCAATCTCTTTTCAGATAAATAAGTATCTAGCATCAAAAATTAATAATGATATCTCATTCAAAATATACAACTATATACAAAATCATTGAAAAGAGAGTACTATTTCAACAAAAGTAAAAGTGATAAAAATCAAAAGAATACCAAGCACCCCATGTCCCCATTTTACATACTTTTGTATTCTGGATGGTTTGAAGTGAAAGTTTTTTTTTTTCCTTCTTTTTTAATCAACACCTTTTTCTCGTGATAGGATTTGTCCTTTCCAAATATTAAAAAGCAACACATATACATTCACATTGCAAAAGCAGATGAATATAAAAGCACCTTATGTTGAGTTGTTAAAATATGACGCTATTAGCTATACAAAGCAAAATCTGCATAATGATAAGATTATACAAACATGGATAGTTAGTAAAATATGCAAATATGTGCAAAATTAACCATAATGTAATGATATACATGTATAAGTATGGCGTTACAATGAATATAAGTATATGTAATGAGCAATATAGGATTATGGACATATAATGTATAAAATTAAATATGAAATAAACAATTCAAAGATTAATAATTTCATGCAAAGCAAAACAAAGTAAAACAAATAAGGCAAAAGGTAGGGTGATTAAATTGAATTATTAACACTATTCCAAACATCAAAATATCAATCTCACCATATTATCCTTCATTGCACTACCAATCACCACTTTATATGTATTACTGAAATACCACGCCCATCACAAAAAGTGTAACATAAAAAAAACTATGGAGGTGATAAGACACAAGCTCCTGTGAAAACTGCTCCACATCGATTTCCTACACTTACCAAATTCCTTACTTCAGCCCCATACCAAACCCTATATCTAACCAAAACTCTAACCCTAACCCTAACCCTAAGTCTGTAACCCTAAATCTAAATCTGAAGTAAAACCCAATTGCAACCCCAAGCCTAACTTTACATCTTTGATGAAGTAAAGCCTGGAGCAAATGTCCGACCATGTCCATTTACCTTCAGCAGTAATAAGATTTACTGGAAATAATATTGTATTTAATATCAGATATTAGATATATATACATGTCAAAGCATACAGCGGCTGTGCTGTGCATAACACCACCAAATTTACTGTCTGCTTTCAAATTATTATTCAATTATTTGTTAAGACTTCATACTGAAATAATAGAGAATCAATATTCACAATTGACAGACAAACATTGATAAAGTATGCATAAATTACAGGGAAGTTAAAATATAGTTTAAACAATATAGCTCATCACAAAATTACCAAGACAAACAAATCTCATTAAAGCAAATGACCATATTTCCTAAATTTACAAGTTGCGTAAAACATTGAATACAAAATGTTAAATTACAGTTTTTTAATTTCACTGACAAATTCAGGCCATATAATATCTAATTTTAACTTTCAAAGACCTTCTCAATAAATTCACGATAACTGGAAGTATTCAACAGGGAAAACTAGAAACTAATTGAATGCTAGTTACTTTAGATATTTACTGTCAAAATTCTTTTTAAATTTAAACACTTGCATATATATTTGAGCACCAAAGACTCGTCAGAGTCTAACCAATAAATAAGCTTAATAAAAACATTTTTTCTGAATCCTAAGAATTTTATTGAATCTAATATATATACATAGAAATAACCTAGTCTCCAGATTACATGAAGCATTCAAATGGCAAGATTGAGTATATAAAATGTATATATATTTGTTAAGTGTATCATCCTGTCATATAAAAATTAAGTATTTTTTCGACGAGGTTACCATCTGATGAAATCTTGGTGTAAACCTGGTGTAAACCAGACATTTAAGAATAGTAATTCAATACCTTATATCTAGGTCTGCATATATTCTATTAGTGTTTAGAGTTAGAATGTGACAGAAAGCTCGCCAAGTATAAAAGACAGAACCAATATCCCGAGACAGATAGAGAGGAAGGGTTGAAAGATCGCGTGAACATGTTAGCATCCTAAAATAGAGGTAAAGAGTATTTAAAAGACCAAGTAAGAAGTGAAAAACAGAGTCTTGTTTCAGCAAAAAGGAGTTCAGCATTTTGAAATTCACACAAATTTAAAATACACAGAAATGAATGAGTCAAAGATGAAAGTAGAAGTGTTGCTTCCCCAGTGGAAAGAGGTAACAATGAAGAAAGAGAATATTATGTTCAGGTATTCTTCCTGCATGTGTGTAGAATATAGACACCTTCATTGTTGCTATGTTAGATATAGTTCATGAAAGCCTCATAATCATCAAGACAAGTTTTTATAATGGAGGTACATGTATTTAGAAAATTAGAATACATCTGCTGAGGTCTGAATACGTAGTGTATAATGAACAGCCTGTCGAAAGCTCTGCCAATAGAGGGCGCTCTTGCCCTTTGCTCTACACACAGATTGGGTTTTCAAGAATTGAAAGCTGCGAGCAACTTAAAAAACATAACTAGATGGGATGAAAAGGCTGCTGCTTTTGGTCTCATTGCTTTGTCTGGCAAAAGATTTCAAGGACTACAGGAAAATCTACTATGATTTTTCAAATCAATCAGTTAAATCACTGCCTACTTAACCTTGGTAGTTGAGAAAAAATGTAATAATGGACTCTTGAAACGAAGAAAGAAACCTTAGTTTGTTATTCACTATTAATAAGTATGGCTGCAAGAAGGGTTAGTGTCCAAATGACTAGTCACTGCATTACGTACAACAAACACTACAGAGTGGACAAGATGAATAGCTGAACATTGTTAATGTATGTTCAGAGCTAGGAGGGCGTTTACTTTGTGTTAAAGTATACAAGTTAATGCCGTTCTGGCTCGAAACGGATGATGGAAGAGGTCCTACTATCTGGATCAATGACACAGAATTAAGATGTTTTTCTATGAAGATGAATTATATATATATATATGCATATGTGTAGCTAGGTCTAAGCCTACTTCAGTCAATTTTATCCCATTAATGTCCCCTCGATATGAGTGTCCATGGCATTTTAAAATGTTACAGAATGAACAACCTTAAATTTCAGTTCAATGCCTTTAATCCCTTTAATCAATATGACGTAATATATGATTAGCAAAAGCAGCACCATCACCATAAATATGCAGCAAACACAACCACTCATTGTTAACATTGAAAGGAATATTTACATAATTTACTTTATGTCATAAATAATTTGATATCAATGCTGTCCATTACTCCAGATATTGTCTAGTACTTTCCTGGACATAACTTACACAGTGGTAATTGGTCAAAGTTTTCTACTTGATCCAATATGCTTAATAGATCATTGATACTTATAAATGCTATGAGATAGGGATGGGTGACGAGGGGGGGGGGGGGGTACTGAATATACAAGCCAAAATAAAGAATGTCACAATTTTACAAATGAATAACATAGAAATGGGATATTTTTAACAAACACACAGATTCTCAGGGAAGCCCTTGGGATAAGCTTCCAGACTGATACAAGATCAATATTTAACCTCTCCTCTCAAATGGAAGCTCTTTGGGAGAATCATATTCCTCAAATGTAAACAAATGGAAAAGAAGTTAATATCTAACCTTACAACCTAATTCATATTGTTGTTTGTCCTTAGAGTATTCACACAGGGGGAATTGGAACAGGGGAACTCAAATGTGAAGCCAGGAGGGCAATAACTCTGTGTTAAATGATGTGGGCTAATGCCCTTCTAGCCCCAAACAGTTGATTTGCTCACGATAACAGACAGGTAGGTGGGCAAGACAGAAATTGAATTTTCCAATCTTGCTGCGAGAATCTTCACTGATACCTTTGTGACATCCAAATTTTAAGAACAAATGAAGGGCCGTGATAGAATAGTGAAGTCTCGCTTCAAACATCTTGTTCTTTTTTATTAAAGTTTGAAGAGTTTTGATGTTCGAAGAGTTTTAAGAGGAACTTCCCTATTCTGTCACGGCTATTAGTTTGTTCTTCAAACTTTGATGTCACCAACACATCAGTGAAGATTTGATTTGATTAGAACTTTAAAAAAAAACACTTCCTTGAGTATCCCTGTTCAATGGATAGAACATTTGTCATTGAGCTGTTTTTAAACGAATGTTTCTAAATAAATGAATGAATGAGCTGTTTTTAAGTAAACGCCAAGTTAACTTGTACAGTAGATGGATCAAAGGTTTTTTTTTAAATGTCATCTACCTTGCCAAAACTACTCATCTGATCAGACTATGAATACCACAAAATATGAGTACTTTTAAATAAAAAGTATATTATACTGAATAACATAGGATGATTTGCATGCACACACCTAGTATAAACTGAAATAAAAATTGCTTTGAGGGGGATGTAAACTGCATTGTTATAGTTGGCAAAGTAAAATCCTATTGCTCAAAAATTGCATTACGAACCTTGCATTATCCTTTTGCCCTCCAACCCCTTTAGGCATGTTGAGTAAACTTTTCAATATCGGTAATAGCAACTAAAAAAAATTGAATTTCTTGCGAATTAGATAGTCCTGTAACTACAGATAAACAATGCTTGGGATAAGTTCCATACAGAAATCTTTATCAATTCTGAAGAAGAAACGAAACTTTATTTTCCGATATTTGCCTTCATTTTTCAATTATTCATCCAAATACTTGAGTAGCCTGGTCCAGATGGCTACTTATCTGTTAAGAGCCAGAAGGGCGTTAACAATATACCTTCACACAGGGTTAATGCCCGTCCTGCTCTCAACAGACGCACTACAATATTTCTTCTTTTCGACCCACATCACTTCAAACCATGCAGAGAATTTTTAATTCCAAAACATAAAAAAGCCCATCTTAAAATGATCTATTTCACTTCAAATATTGTACAAATTGTTTTCATACATCTGTACTTGGTTGAATCTCATTGTGGCTAAGATCAATACAAATATATTTCAGAGAAGATTTCAGCATGTGTGAGTAGTAAATAGACATTGATGTTGATGAGATATTTACTGTGAGTAACTGTTGCAAAATCTTAAATATTATTCAATTCTAATCGGCAAATATTTGGTATAATGTGATATAAAAGATAGACAATTTCAGAAAAGGACAATATATGCCTTTTAAACATGAAAATTTCAGAGAACATAAAAAGATGAGGCAGAATTGATGAGAAAGAATGTGAATTTTGTGAAAAGATATAATCTTTCCTGAAAACTCAAATAAGTAACATTTTTCTCAGATTTTTAAAATAACAATATTTTCCCTTAGGAGAATAGCCTTGGTTTTATACCATTAAATTGCAAGGTTTCAAAACCTTATTCTTGTTTAATAACAATTGCATTAAAAAGGTTTCCCACTTCTGCTGTGGCAAATATAGCTAAGTATAAAGAATAACTTGTCTAATTCAGTGTTGATTTCAAAATATTTTTGTCTAGATATTAAGATGATTTTGTTCATACTATTCTGAAGTTTGGTGTTGTTATAGTAGGAGAGTTGAATGGGCTCTGATCACGAGATTATGATGTGGCTTGGCTGAGCATCATACATCGTCAATCCCTACTAGTGGGCAGTTCTTACCTTCCAAGTCTGCTTCATAGTCACCACCCGAAGACTCGTAGTCCTCCTCATCAGCTAGGGGGATGTATCCTCTAGGAGAAAAGGATGCATAGGGTTTGGTCTCTGGAGTGGCGTTGTTCTGCTGCCTGTCGGACCCGGACACCAGATGCATCAGGGACTCGACAGAGGAGGACCGTTCTGGATCATCAGGAATGGCAATCTCTACAGCCTGGTGGTCCATCAACATGTTCATGTACTCTTCAGTCATGTCGTCAAACGGTTGAGCAAGAGCAGCACTGTCCACTGTGGAGACGGAGTCCCGGCAACCAGGCGGCTGGAGGTGCACCTGGCTTTCCTTGTACTTTGTCAGGGCTGGAGCAGGGGGTGGCTTTGTAAGGACAGCCCTCTTTAACTTAGGACTCTCCCCAAACTTGACACTCTGCAAGATTGGTGGAGGCAGGTTGGCAAACTGATGACTGTTTGTCTTCTTGTTGATATTGGCTCTGGTTGGAGGTTGACTCGGCCCCCTGCTGTTATCTTCTCCAGGGAACAAGGTTTCCCTTGTTGCTTTACGCTGCTCACGGCTGGCACTCACATCAGGACTGGGCACCCGGACGTATTCAGGAGCAACAAGTTTAGCTTTCACTCTCACGGGTCTCTCTGGACTACTGTCTGAGCTGAAACCAAGGTTCTCTGATGATTTAGGGTGCCTGTAGAGTTTGGTATTAGTACCAGACGGGACAGGTCGGGGTGTTTTGTCTTCATCTGATGTTGACTCATGATCACACCCAGGACTAAACTCTTCCTTCTTGACCATCTTTTTTGGATGTGTAGCCTGCCTATAAGGGAAAAAGTCCTGACCCTTCTTGGCTTTACCAGGCATCTCTTGCAGTTCTCCATCATCAGGCCCATACGGATTAGGTATCATTTCAGAAACATCTGATGTTGCTCTCTTCCCCTTCTTACGCTGTTTGCCGGACCCTGGACTGGCATGGACACCAAGTAGCTCCTGGAGTTCTGCTACCTTCTGAGCGAGCAATGGAATCTCTGCAGCCCGATGATCAAATGGTCTGTAGTATTGGGGATAGAGGATATCATCTGCATCTTGATCAGCCTCAGTGTGAATGGTTTGTAGCTGATTCAAGGCAAACTCAAAGTCAGCACTGTCCCTTCCTCGAATCCTTTTTCCTGCAACATGGGTCGCCAACAGATGCCTATTCTGTTCAAGCGAATAAATAGCATCATTCTCCTCATCTTTTCGAGCCAGATTTGGATCACTACCTGCCCGCTGCATTTTCAGCTGGCTCTTGACCTTCTCCAGAATTTCTTGCTTTTTGTTATGACGTTCCATCTCAATTTTCTTCTGCTGGAACAGTTGTGCACCCATGGACAAACGCTTGGCACCAGAATCCCCATTGGTTAACTCAACAGGCATACCCGACATCTTAGAACTCTCCAGTTTTTCATCTCTAGCACTAGAATTGAGCCTAGGAAGACTTTGGCTCCTTCTTCCCATTAATCCTGGGCCTGCACCTTGCCCACGCTGTCTCAGTCGGTCATAGTAAGCGTGCCTCTCATCAGGTTTGGATTGATCGTCATCAGAGTAGACTTCAGTTTGGCGAACAGGACATGGGCTTTTCTGGGCTTTAAAAGCCTTGAGCGGTTCATTGAAGTTTTGTTTAACAGTGTGCTTTTTGATTTCTGGTTCCCTAGGAGTGTGGTCTTTGGGCCACTTAATGCTGCCATACATTGCTTTGGGCAGGGAAGCTCCTCTCTGCTGGTTATTGCTTGCTGGTATTTCAGTCTGGTTATTGTTCATATTGCCAGCTACGCTCAAAATCTCCTCTTCTTTTGAGAGAGGCTTCAAACTCTCAAAGTATGCCCTTCTTTCTTTAGCATTGATAGGCTTATCATCCTCTTCACTTTCTTCTGGACTTTCTTGCTTGATGTCTGGTCTGCTTTCAACCTCTCGATAGATACTACGGGTGACTGGAAGCTCAGCGGATAATGGACGAGCAGTTGCTTTAGTTTTCCTTTCTGTTGTTTCAATAACTTCACAAGGTACGGCAGTTGCTGTAATATACTGCTCATTGTAATATGCAGATGGGAGACTATGCACTTTTCCTGAAACTGTCTGAGTCTGAGTCTCTTTGAAATCCCTTTGGGCAGCTCGTTTGCCATAACATGTGTCATCTTTGATAAGTTGGTTGGATTCCTGGGCATCTTTCACCAATATACTCTTCAGGTCAGCTGAGGGTCGCCTTTTAGGTACGACCAGGTCGAGGCCACCATTCGTTTCAACATCCCTGTTGATTTTCTTTATAAGATCTTTGATAGGTACAATGGGTATATCTTCTAATTCGCTTTCTTTCCCTGTACCTCCAATACGATACTCAGTGTCAGAAAATCTCTCTCTGTCGTAAAACAATTTCTCGGGTTGATGTGCTTGTTGGTTTTGTTCTCTTTCAAACTCTGGGCTAGAATGATACCCTGAAGACAGGCTAGCTCCTCTGAAACTATCCCTAGGATTTGCGTAGTTTATTGGCTCTTTTTTCTGTGCTATCTGTGAGGGTATCATCTTCTGAGCTTGATAGGAAGCTTGTTGGGTGTAGCCAGCTGATCGTCTTTGCCTGGAGTAGATATCAGACTCATTGCCCATTGAGCTATCTTGAGATAATAAGCTCTGGGCACTTTGTCTCCGATCATGCTTCTCTGGCTGTGGTTTCCAGGATGAATCTCCCTGGTTTGCTCGATATTCCATCTGAGACCTGACTGGGGAGTAACTTCCGTGCTGGGAGTAGCCATTTCGCACAGGGCTCTGACTGTATTGGTGGTGTGGTGGTTTGGACAAGTTTATAGGTGGTTTCATAACTGGCGATACTTTTCCATTTTCTATCTCTACAAACTCTCTTTGCATTGGTCCTGGACTTATCTCTGGACTAGGTGAAGTAGGTACCACTTGAGAAACCAGGCAGAAGATAGTCTGCTTCCCAGAATCCACTTGCTTTATGGAACTGACTGAATTCTCGGGTTCCGTAGAGGCTGGTGACCTTACTGTCATACGTGCCGGATAGTCGGTGGGCCAGTCCTTTGGAAGGGAAGGTGCCGTCTTTGTGTCATATGTGTTATTGTAGGTCTCTGGCTGGTTGTTCTGGTAGCTATTTATGCCATATCCTCCATTGGTATGACTTGTTTGTTTCATAGGTTCAGAATATTGGTGATTGTTGTTGTTGGTGGTGCTAACCCCGTACTGATTATTGTAGAAGGAATCCCCATTAGGATGCTTTGGGGATCCTGCAGCTACTCCAAATGCTGAATTTCTAGACCGTTCTAAACTTGGATAAAGTCCATCATCTGAAGCAGGGTGGTCTATGGCACTCCTTGGTCTTTCTTGACTGAATGTGTTCTGCAGCTCTCTTGGAACACCACCAAGGCTCGTTGGTCGTTTGAATTTCTTCATGTGCTGGTCATAGGCTTTTACTTCCCGTACTGTTCGCAGTGAGTTTGATTGCTTTGGCTGCATCTGACTAACTTGCTGATTTGGTTCCTCCCTCTGCGTTACTCTGGGTTTGGACTCTGTATAAAGTTCTGGATAGTAGTTGAAATTTGTTGTGTTTGTTTTACTGGCTGGGGATGAGGGGTAGCTGTGTGAAGGGGGAGCTTGGTGGATCGCAAACATGTCAGGTTCACTGGACTTCTTGTACGTGGGCTCTCTGAGGTCAATCTCTCCATCACTTCGATACACTGGTCTTGGAGCCTCTGGAACTTTGTCACTTTGAGGCAATACGAGGGGTCTTGCATTACTGGTGGGTCTAGACTGGACTGTGGCTGTGGCTGTTTCTTTGATCCAAGAGTTTCCATATGGATCAGAATTCACCTTTTGCTTCTGCTGTTGATTGTAAGGTCTCTGTTGATAATCTTCTCCATAGGCAGTTGAAGTGGGTTCAAAAGAATATTGGTCATGAGGGCTTGAAGAGTGGCCATACTGGTTAGGACTAGGACTATATGGGTCACTCGATGACTGTTTGATTTTGCTATCCACTTGATATCCATTTGATGACGACTGAGGGCTCCTGGAATACTCCACACCTTGTCTTTCCACAGACATGTCTCGCTTACCATAGTGATCACTGCGTTCATTTTGTCGATTGCTATAGTGATTTTGCCGCCTGTCCGGAGACATGTCTCGCTGACCATAATTATCACCATTACGTTCATGGTTTTGATTGTCATAGTGCTTCTGCTTTCTGTCCAGAGACCGGTCACGCTTGCCATAGTGACCACTTTGACCACTTTGGTCATACTGTCGGTTGTCATATCTTTGTTTTCTCTCTGGAGACCTATCACGCTTTCCATAGTGATCAGTGTGGTCATATTGTTGGATGTCATGTTTCTGCTTTCTATCCGGAGGTCTCTGTCTCCTTGGAGGCGAACTTGAGTACTCTTTAGTTGGAGACCATGACCTTTCTCTCGCGTGTTTAGAACCGGAAGAGCTTTGACCAACTAGAGGACTCACATTCCAGTTCTTAATTGGACTGCTTGATCCAGAAGAAGGACTGCAGATCTCGTAATCACTGGCTGAAGTAGTGAAGTCAGTGTCTGGTCCATCGGGAATATGAACTCTGTTGAGGGACTCCTGTCGACGTGGTGGTTTGGGTGGTCCACGAAGAGCTGTAGGAGACCCTTGGCCATAATGTCCTGGAAGTGATCCACCTCTGCTATTGCTTCTGCTGTCCTGAGAATAGTGGCTGGGCAGAGATCCAGATCTTCTCTCCCCTCTGTCCTCGTACCTCTGCCGCTGACCGTTGATCCGCATGAGCTCTTCATCATCTTCCCGGCTGTACCTCCGTTCATTGCCTTGTCGAGTGTGATGATGATGCATAGTGGAGGAACCATTCCTGTAGTCTCCTACAGAGTGACGATATCTTCTGTCGTCTCTGGGTGGACGGTCTTGTCTACTGCGAGAGTGGCCCTGGCCCTGTGATTGGTGTTGTTTGGGGGCTCGATGGCGCTCCGGGCTACTTCGACCGTTGCTGCTACTTCGACCGTTGCTGCTACCTGGTTTGGTGATGTAGTCAAAGTGGGTTGCTTTTACAGGATGTGTCTTCCCATTAGTCTCATTTTCTTTGCCCTTCTTCTCCTTCCCTGGTGACAGGAGGCCAGAAAGGCCCTGAAATAAAAGAAAAAAAGTTAAAAAATCATAAGATAACTGTCACAGAATTCGTTAAACTTACTTAATGTCATTTATTCATTTTCATAGGAGACAAATGAGCATAATATGATATTTACATTAAAAGTAATATAAACTCAAAATAAACTCAAAAACAATATAATTTGGCACCTTAAAGTGCCTGGAAAGAATTTGAAATTAATAGGGAAAATGAAACTGAAACTCAACGAACATAATTGTGATTTTCAAATTCATAAGCTCACAACATTATGTGGGATATCTGATATCGAAAATTATTAACCCTGGGCTTCATGGAATAGATCACACAATTAGGATGAAAGGATAGAGAAGAAAGGTTGGGGTATAATCGGTTTATGAAAATCATTTGATAAAAATTTGAAGTAGATCATGTATAAATCCATGCCAGTTTCATACACATACTTCATGTAAAAAACTTTGATATATAATGGTACTTCAAAGGAGCCCTGATATTGTATTTCAGGGTTCTAAAACAGATGAAAGATGATGATATGACCATATCAAGCACTTCCTTCATTTATTTGTATCTATTTTCAAAAGTATCTATAAAGACCTCCCTGCAAAAGGAAAATTAAAACATTTAAATAAAACATATGAGGTGATTCAAAATCATACTCCGAAGGCATTGAACAAAATTAGGACTTCATAATTTGTAAGAAAATGGAAATGGATGAAATAGTAAAACTCTCCAGTCACAGACTTAAATAACAAAATTGAATATGTCGTTAAAGTGGTCCCCTACATGGACTGCTGCGGGCAAATAATCCATCATAATAGCTTGCCTTTTGACAATTTCTAAATCTCTCCAGAGATTGCGTTTTGGTCTAATTTTGCAGACTGTCTGATGTAGGAGAGTTAACCTTCAAACTTTCACTTATTTCTGGCACATTTAGAGTGCATTCAAGCGACACTTTTTCACCTTAGAAACACGGTTTTCAAAGACATTTAGTTTAAAACACGGTTGCGTTCAAGCGATTTCATGCAATTTCAAGCGATTTCATGCAATTTTTTTCGGTCGTAAAATAAACATGTTAAAAAAACGCAAACATGAAACGCTGAAAAATATGCGTTTTGTATCGTGATTTGCTAAAAATCGCTTGAACCAACGGCCGACAGTCGACCGTAAACAACTTCAGAAAGCTCGCGGCGAGTTGACCTATACTTTCTGGATCAAACTGCACAGTGTGATGAGCAGTGGCTGGGCTTAAAATGAGCGAGAATCAGCGTTGATGAAAAATCGCTTCAACGCTCTCCCGCAGTAACCGTTTTCTACACAGCGTTTTGATTTGTGATTCATGTTTGTGATTCTAGCTTCAAAAAATCGCTTGAACGCACCCTTGGATGAATTGGTAGCTGGCGATGACCTGTGAATGACCTCATATTTTCAAGGCTGATGTGTTATCATCAAACTGTTAGCAGTGCCCAAAATCTGGTACCACTTTGACTTTCGCCTTCAGAGATGATCTCCATCATAAACAGAAAATAAATCTCTGCTACCTTCTTTTTTCTTCTAAATCTACAAGGGTAGATCATTATGATCCATAGGTTAGTTAGCCAATCCAAAAGTTTTATGCCATAGAACTTCAGAAGTTCTTTGGTCACAGACATTTTGCCCAACAATAACTAATGCATGCCATCATCACCATGAGCAGACATTTTCTTCTCTTCTGGTGAGTAGCCTCAGTCTCAAACTCTCAGGGAAAAAATACCCACAATGCACCTGTGAACTTGACCTTGATTTTGCTCCATTCGTTCCTTTGCAAACAATGGAGCTGTCATTCAAGTTTTCTAAGGAATGGTAGAAACTAGAAAGCACCTGGCAAGACCAAGGAGCGCATCAAGGTTTACAAGATGAAAGGTTTAGTGTTACTTGAAAAGCTGCAAAACAACAAATGTAATCTTTCGTAACCTTGAGTCTTGACTGAGAAGTGAGAAGAAAGCAATTTTTGGACAGTTACTTTCAAAACTTCTCTGACAATCTAGCAGTGAAAGTAGTTGAAGGGTAGTGCCATCAATAGGCCCAAACTTCATCAGCCTGCAGTTGCAATTAGCGGGCTATTTGGTCGAGAAAATATCCTGAGAAATCTTGGTCTTGTTTCCAAAATAGCCCGCTAATTTGCGCTAGTTTGTGATGAGCGTATCGGTCTGGTGAAGATGCAATTCCGAGCTACAGGAAAATATTACTGGAAATAGCGGGTTATTTTGCAACTTTGGTCTGATGAGGAGAGGCCTAAATTTTCAGGTCACCTTGATATCCATAAAAATGTTGTTCTATTATTACTCCAATAGCTGTCGAAGTTGTTAATTTAAACCAGACTCTGAGATAATGCAGGGCTTGACACTATCAGACACCCAGGGACACAAAATCTAAGTCTCGACCCCCCCCCCCCCCCCCCCCAAATTTTGAAGTTTTGACACATGGTTCATACATACAAACATATTTTGAACTTAAATGTGGACCCCTTTCAAGAAAGTTAGTGTGGTTACCTGGATAATGTGATAACAACATCAATGTATGTACCAAGATATTTCCTACTGGATATGTAGAGATACCTATCCAATTTAGAAATTAAAGTTTCACAATAAATACTTAATATATTTCCAAAAATTACTCTAAACGGACAATGCATTACTGAAATTTACTTGGATGATAATGATAAAAATACATGTAACCCCTATATTCACAGCTGATTTTACAGCCTCTATAGATCTTCAGACGCCAGCTCCCCCCTCCCCTCCCCCTCTCACTTCACTCCATGACTCCACTCCCCAATAATCATTCTACATGTACATGGTACCTCGATTCCTTCTTTAACTGCCCCTCCCCAACCCTTCTTCTTCTGTTTATACCTTAGAAACAGAATCACAACACAACAGAGCTGCTTGAATTGGCCTGGCTGACATTAAATCACTTTCACATTCTGGGCATAGCTTTAGGATTACACAGCACTGGTAATGATACAAATGATGGTTGGACGTCACACTTCATCCTCCGTTATCATACACCAGCTATCATGAGCAGTATGTTTTACCTCACATATATTATAGAGGGCTAAAAGAAACCGCTGTCTGTTGAAATCATAAATGTCCAACTCATTTGTGTTCTCAATAAATATATAAAAAACAGAAGCTGTATGAGGAACAAAGGCTTGTAAGCTGGTTTTCTCTCCTGCTTCACACTTCATTGTTGTTTTGATAAACCTGCTCATATGTTGACTGAAGCCAATTAAACCAAACAAAAGGAAATGCACAAAATATTTGAGGAATTCCAATTACTCCATGATTGTCAATATGACACTTTAAAGATAAAGACCAGTTATGGTCATGCGATTGCATTGTGAAAGAAACGTTGTGCAATCGATCAGAGAAGGTTGATCATCTAGCATATAAGTATTGGTGTGTACTGCAAGGTTCTGGAATTATTCAAAATGATAAGAAATTTGGCCCAGTCTTGGTAAAGTTACAAGCACTGTACACAGAAGGATGTAGATGGGACTACGTGACACGTGCACGACACGTCCACGATATCTATCAGGTCCAAATAGATGTAATGATTTACCAAATATATCAATAAGTAGGGGGTTTTTCAGGAAAATTTGTATCATCACGTATTAGTCAAAACATATTCTTTCACATGATTGGTAATAAGAGCTTCAATTTCATTTTTTGAGAGGAGGGCGTTTCCAAAACGGGGCTTTACCTTTAAAATCAGAGAGACAACAAAAGATTTGTCATTAGTAATCTTTGCGATGGAATGCCAGTTCTGCTATTTCACAAATCACACTATTGCATACAGTGTATGCTGACCAGTTCCTTCTTTCTTTCTTTTTTCCTTTCATTTCTTTGTCACTGCAACATTCTTGTGCATTCTTGTTATTCCTGGCTCATTTTTCCTGATTGAGGTGTCATTTGAAAGGGCAGAAGTGAGCTTTCTAGAAATGTGATTTTCTCTTTGAAATTCAGATACCGTTCGCCAAATGACATTTTGGTACTCTTTCTTCAAAATGTTTTTAATCACTCATGCGTGAAATATGCATCACATGAGTTTCATCAAATGAAAGAGGAGGATCTAAGCTTTACAAATATGTGTCATTTATTAATTATAACTGTGATTAAGTCATGATAAAACAACAATAATTCTTGGTTTCTTTTTTTCTGGGACGCACTATATATGTATAATAACGTTACATAAATGACTATTTTTAAGATTTTTTTTTCCATCCTAATTTTTTTTCGCTACCAGGAACTGAAAGAGTTAGGCTAAGCTCAAGGCTTTCTTAAATCGTGTTTCAGGGTCAAATGACAGTCTGTACCTACAGACTAACTACTACATGAACAGAAAACAGAATTATTTCTCCATCCCACCAAATTGAAAATGCTAATTGACAGCCTGCAGCCATGTCATATTCAGATCCAACTCTAATCATAACTACATCATACAGCGGCCCTGCTGCTTCCCGGCACCCTGCCAGATTACTAGAGGTCAATCCCCACATCTCAGAGGTCATTGCTGACCCTTCAGGCAAGGTCGGAGGTCACATGACTTCCATGGAAATTTTCAATTGCGATTAAAAAACAGTAGGCCGAACTACATGGATGTGAATGGATTTGAGCTGGCCAATCAACCAGCAGTCAAGAATATAGGCCTGTGTACAAGAAGATTAGGGTTTCGTAAATGAAAAGGGAAAGGCAGTGCTAACATAAATAGCTGGAAGACATATATGACCAAGGAGTTATTAATTTCTTGATAAGACCAGAGAGAAATGAAACTTTAGAAAATCTTTTTTTTTTAAGGGTGGTTGTAAGAACTCTGAAAGAGAAAAATTTTCTGTGGTGCATGGGCCTGTATAAACATAACTCCCTCAAATAATTTTGGATGAAAATCTCCTATAGAGCTCCTGTGAACAACAACATAATCTCTATATTGAATGAACTGCACATACCAAAAACAAAAATCAAAT